CAATGTATATTCATTTTGAGAATGTCAGACGTAATGTTTCGTTATTAATTTGTTTAATAACAATCAGCAGTAAATCCAGATTCAGCAGCATATCGCATGTCAGCAGTAAAACGGCTATAACCGTTACAGTAAATTAGATAACAAACAGTAACTGTTAGCATTGATTGATAAATACCTTGACCCACACGACAGGGTAAGATTTTACAGATAATACTGAATGTAATTTACAAATACAAGAGAAATAACAGGTGTAATATTTAAAAACAACTGCGTACCATTTAGCTGGTCTCCCTTAATAGATATAGCCTTTTTTCCTTTCCCAATTTCTTAGCGTGTCTTTGTCATCGGCTCCATGATATCAATTACATTAGGTATATATACACTGCTGAAATAATTATGCATTATGTACGTTCTGAGACTCTAAAAGGACATTTGCAACGAATTCAAACAAGTGAGATGACAGCTATTACATCGTTTACAAATAAACATCTTTATTATACGTAGCTGTCATCGTATGATTGATAAATATGTTCTCTTCTACGAAAGTAAGAAATCGATTGCTTTAAATCATTGTTGATGTTAAGGATATTATATGCTGGCATAAAACACTTCATGTACATAAACGAAATCAGTCAAATTAAAATTAATACTAGAATATTTTTTGTCCAGATCGAAATTTTAAAGTGAGCTCTCTTCTTTGGACCTGCCAAATCTCATGTATTCTTGTTTCCTCTTGTCTGCTTGGTTCTTCGTGTACAGTTCCAATTGCTTGTCCCAGGTGTATTTGTTGTTGTTGCTGGTTTCAAGGGCACGTTTCTTCCCAAACCTAGCAGGGAAAAGAATGATGAAATTACTACTGAGAAAAGTATGGTCCTAAACCACGGCACTGGGGCCTAAATGAACACTAAAACATTCGACAGAGATAAGAAAACACTGTTTTCCCTAAAAATAAAACTGACTCCCAGCTCGACCCAGCCTTAAATGGGTGCCAGGTACAGTCCTGGGAAGTATAAGCGACCAGTTTGCTGTTGACCACATCACACACAAGTACCGATTGGTCTATACAATTTTGGTCTAGCCCTATATGCCCAGGTACATCTGAAGGCTTGGAAGTATAGTTTTTAAAAGACAGATAACAGAGAAATAAAACTGCGTATACAAAAGACCTAGTTATGAGCAGAGTGTGGGCAAGACTAAGATGACATTTAGACTTCAGAACTGCAACTTGTAAATAAAGATAATGCATACAGATAAAACTAAGATGGAGACAGAAATATATGTTAATGAGGAAAGATTGGAGGTTATGAAAAATTGTGATTATCTTGGGTCATTGATTACCAACAATGCTGACACCGTGAAAGAAACTAAACGACGGCTATCAATTGCTCTTCAAAGACTAATACAACTGAATAAATTATGGAGTGGGACAGACAGAACTACAAAAATGTGATTCCTAAAAGCATTAATTGTTTTTATAATGCAATATACTTCAATGAGACCTGAACACTTACTAAACAAGCTGGACAGCGCATAAATGCCTTAGCATTCAAATGTTATAGACGAGTACTAGAATATCGTGGGTGAAGAAAAGAACATATGCATCCATACTTCAAGAACTGGATATTAAAGAATGTTGGCTATTAGAGACGATAAAACATAGAAAATTGAAATATTTTGGTCGCTTAAAACGTCACGAAAGTTTAGAGAGAACACTACTGGAGGGGTATATGCCTGGGAAGAGAGGAAGAGGAAGACCAAAGAAAAGATGAGTGCAGGATGTGACGGATAATCTCCAGATGGGTGTATTGGAAGTGGGACATCTTGTTTGTGATTGAGAAGTTTTCCAGAAGGTTATTATGGGTGCAAGGTTCTGCAAAGGACATGCTACTGACTGACTGACTGACTGACTGACTGACTGACTGACTGACTGACTGACTGACTGACTGACTGACTGACTGACTGACTGACTGACTGACTGACTGACTGCGACTTGTAGTTTCCAGCTGGAAATAAAAGGCCAAATGCAAATACGTATGAAAGAGGATGATATCTGCAGCAATAAATCTCAGCCTAAGAAAAGAAGGAGAAGAGGAGGTGAAGAAGACGAAAATTAAGAAGAAGAAGAAGAGAAAGAAGAGGAGGCATTTGTAATATTATTTTCAGAACCCCCACAATTTTCAGAATAAGAAAACTAGCAAGTCCTGATGTAGACAAAGTTAACAATTGGCAGGCTTCAGGTTAAAAAAATTACACACACACACACACACACACACACACACACACACACACACACACACACACACACACATATATATATATATATATATATATATATATATATATATATATATATATGGAAGCTGAATGTGTGGGGGGGGGGGTGGAGATAGATAAAAATATGTAACTACTCATTTACACAAGAGGGTACAAACCCAAACCTCATGTAGGGCTGTGAGCGAGTGTCTCTTGTCTCCAGTTGATCAAGAGGGATGTTGGACGTCTCGCTGTCACTAGTGTCTATGCCATCCATACAAGTTTTCACTGGCGCCTGTGTTCCTTGCGAATCTACTGAACGTCTCTTTCTGTCGGCACCATAAGTTTCTTCGCTTAGTCCTGGACTGGTGTGTGAATAGAGAATCATTTTAATAATTAGGTAACAGCCACGGCTGAAAAAGCGACAAATAGCTCATGATGTGTAAATAAGCAACACAAACAATTCCTCCATTTATATAAGAAACTACCCGTGTGGGTTCCGTGGCCCGAATATGGGGAAAACAAGACCAGACCCACTGTCTCCCCAGCAAGCATGTTGTAAGAGTCCACTAAATGGGATCTTCCTTCGAGGTTGAAGTACATTTGCCTGTAAGGCAAGGAACCAACCTTCTGCAAACAATTAGGTCAGATCTGTAAAGCGGGTGTGACAGGAAAGTGATGTAAATGGCCGATAATATTAAACATATATATATATTTTTTTTTGGCACTTCATCAGAATTTTCGGGGACTTGAAAAAAAAAAAAAAAAACAGGAACATGACCCCCAGGTCGACTCAGCCTTAAGTGGGTATCAGGTACAATCCTGGGAAATAAAGGCGGCCTGTGTGATGTTGACCACATTTCATTTCTTAAGGACTGCGAAATTAAGGACTGTCCACAACTAACATAAGTAAACTGCTATAGGGTAGAATAATTGTGGCTTTCATTTCTTTGCTCGTGCTTAACCATAGAATATAACCACAAAAACAACACTCTCTTTTATAACTAACACTACAAATAAGGCTACAAAAATAGGTTGGTCGCGATAGCAATTCGTAGTAAATTTCCCCTTGTAAAATCGAGCCCGGAAGGAGGGGCAGGGGCCCACCAAAACGAAAATGGGCAGAGGATATAAGTGACTCCTTGAGTGTAAAGGTACCCGAGGCGGGAAAGCTGGCGAGAGACCGAGTTTCTTTCAGGTAGACCGTGATGAGTGCTACTTTCTGCAAAGGACCTGCTGCATGATGATGATGATGATGATGATGATGATGATGATGATGATGAAATCGAGCCAGGAAGTGAAAACACATTTTCACGACTTTCCGGTTTTGACCATAAATAATATGCTGCTAATCAAATTTTGTATACCATAATCGACACTTCATTAATAATATGGTAGACTTCACAGTGGTTAAGAAGAAAATATCTTTCAAACAGTATTTCCTGGTATCTATTTTAAGTTTGGGTAATATCGACATTAAAGATGTTATGGTTGTTCATCCATTTGTGTACTTTGATCTTGTTCCAAATATTGAGTTTTGCGTTCACACCCATTTGGCTTGCTTGCTTGTACCGCACCAGGACATCACACAAGCGATAAACACCCAGTGACACAAAGTGCCACAATGCGGATGAGGATCACCCGTGGAGAGATCCCAGAAACTCCTTTCAGTCGTTATGGCCACAATTGTGGCCCAGCTATATTAAGGGTTCCCGGCAAAAGCCAGAGTGGGGCTTCAAAAAGCGAAAAATTGCATCTCTCAAGGGGACAAAGTGTAACACATCCATTCTACATATCTGTCTTATTTATATATGCAGAGTGTCGGCTCCTTGCTTTTCAGGCTTATGTACTCAGACTTCAAACGATATACCCGACTTTTACGAAGTGTTTTTCAGGGGCAGTGTCTCCCCCCCCCCCCCCCCACTCTCCCCCTCACCCCAATGGACTAAGGGGCGCACACGGAAAGCACCTAGGACACAGAAAGGTAAAGGTTCCTTTTCCAATCCTTTCAGGCGCTTTGGGTATAGGGCTAAACCTATATGTTATAGACCAAACGGGTCTTGGTGATGTGGCTGATATGGTCAGCCTCACGCCGGACACCTTTACTTCACAGGACTGTACCTGGTACTCTCTCAAGGCTGTTGTCAGCCTGACAGCCAAGGTTACTTTTGGAAAAAATCCGGCCCTCCTCGGGAACCGAACCCGCGACCTTCCGATCCAAAGGCGAGTGGCTAGTCGCTAGACAATGGAGGCTCTCTCTAAAAGAGAGAAGCACGAAAATAATTACCCTGTTAGAAGTGCAACATCTTCTGGTTGATGCAGGACCTCGTGACTTTTCTCAGAACTGGAGAAAGGTTCTAGAGCCTGGTTTGTCAACGATGGGAAACTTCTTCCAAACCTCGGGTAAGGGAAGTTTCTCTTGCCGAACCTCAAATAAGGAACAGCTCGGCCGAATCTCAAATAATGAACCCCACGACCGAACCTCAGAAATGGATCTCTGCTCCTACGATCCATCCGTACAGCTGAAACCAACTCAGGCAGGCCATCTTCGAGGTTTTCGCGGTCATTCAAACTGGCGATTGTTTGGAGTGGGTTCGATTCTTGTTGGAGGTCATCCCCATTTCCAAAAGCGACGAAAGGGTAGTTTCCGGTGTCTTCGCTTGGGCCATGAGCTGCTCTGCCGAATCTCATGTAACCGTTGAAGTGCTGACGACCAAACCGCAGGTACTCATTATCCAAGTTCCTACCTGTGCAGGGTGGGAATTTAAAAAAAAAAAACATCGCTGTTATAAAATATATACTGAATGGAAAATTTAAAGGCAAGCGAGCAAGATGTAGACAGCGATACAAGTGGAAGCATATCAAGAGATGGACAAACTATAGTATTAAAGAGAGAGAGAGAGAGAGAGAGAGAGAGAGAGAGAGAAGAAGAAGAAGAAGAAGAAGAAGAAGAAGAAGAAGAAGAAGAAGAAGAAGAAGAAGAAGAAGAAGAAGAAGAAGAAGAAGAAGAAGAAGAAGAAGAAGAAGAAGAAAAAGAAAAAGAAGAAGAAGAAGAAAATATCGACGAAAGGCAAAATGTGTTGAAGTTCTAAAAGGCAAACTTTAATTGTGAAGACGACGGCCGCTAATTCAGTGTTCTTGTTAAAAAATTATAAAGTAGAATATGGACATTTCACTTTGTTGAATTATAACTAAGATTTTATGGAAAATATAAAAACAATTTATGACCATAAAAGAACAGTGAAATACACGTTTGTAACATTCTCAGATGTAAATTTATGGAACGTACCTTACGTTTTAGAAATGACTCCACAGAATTATTAAGTTAGGATAAATTCAATTCTAATGTTATTTCAATTCCACAGTATGCCAGTGAAACCACAAAAGACACATAAAGTAGGTTTATGCATTCAAAAACAGATCCGTGATGAAACGTATCTGTATTAGATAGGAGACATTCAAGAAAAGCAGATAAATGAGCGGCATCTTTGGACAACCACTTATATCAACAGTCATTAGAAAAACAAAGAAGATAGCAATATATCTGGCACATTATGGAGAGATGTGGACAGAGAATCAACAAACAGGCACTGAAATGAGAAAGAAATTGATTGAAGAAAAGAGGACGTTCAAGACAAATCAAATTTTAAAGAAGATTTGAAATTTCAAGGAATATAAAGGTGAGACAATCAAATAGTTTATATCAGCTTTACAAACCCATATACAAGAACAATCAGAAGGCTATGCAGGGATTACCCTTCATCGGCAAACAACCAAAATAAACAAAAATACAAAACAAACAGAAAAGAATTCCCTAAACACTGATAATTACAACCCCAAAGACGAACCGGTTAGAGAGAGAGAGTCATGTGGTTCCGGACTGAAGGTCCTTTACGATATGGACAAGATCTGAAGGGTCTAGAATGTAGCACTAGAATGCGAGCTCTCATGTGACGATGAACCATACCACAGAAGGGTGGCGATGACGTGTTATGAAAATTAGGTGAAGTAAGTCAACATCAGCATCAACATCAAGCACCTTGGCGATTGGCGTGGGCGATCATACCTCTCCAGGATCTGCGATCGTCAATATCATATAAGTTCGTATGTTGACACACCTCAATCCAATGCTGTCAAGAATCGTCTCGCGTTGTCTTCGTCTATTGTTTGCCCCCACCTCCACTCCACATAGATCTTTCCAGTGGTCACAAAAGGTTCCAGTTTGCAGTGGTCCGAACAGCTTCCAGTTTCAAGTGTTTACAACAGGCTCCAGTTTCCAGTCGTCACAACAGGTTCCACTGGTCCCAACAGCATCCAGTTTCAAGTGTTCACAACAGGCTACAGTTTCCAGTCGTCACAACAGGTTCCACTGGTCCCAACAGCATCCAGTTTCAAGTGTTCACAACAGGCTACAGTTTCCAGTGATTACAACAGGCTCCAGTTTCCAGTGGTCACAACAGGTTTCACTGGTGCCAACAGCATCCAGTTTCAAGTGTTCACAACAGGCTACAGTTTCCAGTGATTACAACAGGCTCCAGTTTCCAGTGGTCACAACAGGTTCCAGTTTCCAGTGGTCACAACAGGTTTCACTGGTGCCAACAGCATCCAGTTTCAAGTGTTCACAACAGGCTACAGTTTCCAGTGATTACAACAGGCTCCAGTTTCCAGTAGTCATAACAGGTTCCAGTTTCCAGTGGTCACAACAGGTTCCACTGGCCACAACAGGTTCCAGATTCCAGTGGTCACAACAGGTTCCTGTAGTCACAACAGTTTCCAGTGGTCACAACAGGTTCTACTGGTCACAACAGGTTCTACTGGTCACAACAGGTTCCAGTAGTCACAACAGGTTCCAGTAGTCACAACAGTTTCCAGTGGTCACAACAGGTTCCAGTAGTCACAACAGGTTCCAGTGGTCACAACAGGTTCTACTGGTCACAACAGGTTCTACTGGTCACAACAGGTTCAAATGGTCACAACAGGTTCTACTGGTCACAACAGTTTCCAGTGGTCACAACAGGTTCCAGTTTCCAGTGGTCACAACAGGTTCTACTGGTCACAACAGCTTCCAGTAGTCACAACAGGTTCCAGTAGTCACAACAGGTTCCAGTAGTCACAACAGGTTCTACTGGCCACAACAGGTTCTACTGGTCACAACAGCTTCCAGTAGTCACAACAGGTTCTACTGGTAACAACAGGTTCCAGTGGTCACAACAGGTTCTACTGGTCACAACAGTTTCCAGTGGTCACAACAGGTTCCAGTTTCCAGTGGTCACAACAGGTTCTACTGGTCACAACAGGTTCCAGTAGTCACAACAGGTTCCACTGGTCTCAATAGGTTCCAATTTCCAGAATTTAAAACAGGTTCCAATTTTCAGTGGTCACAACAGGTTCCAATGGTCACAACATGTTCCACTGGTCTCAATAGGTTCCAATTTCAAGAGGTCACAACAGGTTCCACTTGTCACAACATGTTCCACTGGTCTCAATAGGTTCCAATTTCAAGAGGTCACAACAGGTTCCACTGGTCTCAATAGGTTCCAATTTCAAGAGGTCACAACAGGTTCAAGTTTCCAGTGGTCAAAGCAGGTTCTAATCAAGTGGTTACAACTGGTTCCAATGGTCACAACAGGTTCCACTGGTCTCAATGGGTTCCAATTTTCAGAGGTCACAAAAGTTCCAGTTTCCAGTGGTCACAACAGATTCCAGTTTCCAGTGGTCCCACCAGACCCCAGTTTCGAGTGGTGACAAGTTCCAATTTCCAGTGGTCCCACCAGACCCCAGTTTCCAGTGGTCACAACAAGTTCCAGTTTCCAGTGGTCACAACAGATTCCAGTTTCCAGTGGTCCCACCAGACCCCAGTTTCGAGTGGTGACAAGTTCCAGTTTTCAGTGGTCACAACAGGTCCACTTTCCAGTGGTCACAACAAGTTCCAGTTTCCAGTGGTCACAACAGACTCCAGTTTCCGAAGTAAGTACACGACTCTTTTCACCACAATAGCACATCGGGTATATGATGCTAGATTTATATTTGTACTGATGGATCGGTCGTTGATTGCTAATGGACGTGGCCAAGATAACCCTGACCGTGTTTTTTCACGGAATATTTCCTGTGACCCATTTCGGCAAGTAATGTTTCGTCCTAAATCCGCCAAGTGCAGATTGAAACCTGAGACTGTATAGGTCGACAGGCGAGCGTCTAGCACTAGAATGCAGCGTCTCCCAGGTGAAAGTTAACTGAAAGGAAAGTCAGAGTTAGGTCAGCAGGAGGTACATGAAGGATGCACACGGGGGAAATAACACCAAGAGAGGGGCTACCATCAGTCTGAACAGTGCAACCTAAGCGAGCGAGCGAGAGAGACAAAGACAGGGAGGGATACTTGGGGATCTATTGCCGCCAACCGTCATTGCCTAGAGGGCTTTTGATTAACTGTCTGAAATCAAAGTTGGAAGTACATTGAGGTATTAAATATGGACAAATGAGCAACAATGTGTATGGTATATTTTGGCTAAAGCTTGAGGCAAGCAGATGTTTCGATCGCTGCTGCACGCTGCTGGCTTCATTTCCTATCTACAGTCAACACTCTACAGCCGCCGCCCCTGCGCTGCTATCTTCTCCCCATCCTTAGAGTTTTGTGAGATTTGCTTGGCCTCCTGTTGTCTACTGATTGGAGTAGAAGAAAACAGTCATTGAGTTAACATCGTCATAATATAATAGTTAGATAATCATCAATATATCATAGTGTCTATACATTTCAGAAAAGCGAAGACAAGAATGTGATAGCAAGAGATAAACTGTGTTCAGAAATTGTTCTCTATTTGTGAAATAGAGGAGAGTGGGAAGACTAAGCAGAGATGGTAGAGTGGGGTAGGGGTCGGAGAGAGAGAGAGAGAGAGAGAGAGAGAGAGAGAGAGAGAGAGAGAGAGAGAGAAGATAGAGAGGGGTAGTAAAAAAAGGAAATGGAAAAACGGGAGGGGAAGATAAGGGGGATAAAATTAGAAGATATAAGAGGAAAGATGGTTAGTGGCAACTGCAGGTATGAACAAACAATGACGATTAAATAAAAGAACCTGAAAGTAGAAGAACAAAAAGGAGAAAGGGGGGGGGGGGTAAGACCAGAGAGACTGGGTGAGAGAGAGAGAGAGAGAGGGAGGGAGAGAGAGAGAGAGAGAGAGAGAGAGAGAGAGAGAGAGAGAGAGAGAGAGAGAGAGAGAGAGAGAGAGAGAGAGAGAGAGAGAGAGAGAGAGAGAGAGCAAGAATGAAAGTGAGAAAGAAAAAAAAGATGAAATTAGGTTCCGTAAAGCTAGAAGGTGGAGAAAAGCAGGGAGCTGGTAGGACAATAGGGCAACGTGATGTTGACATTACCTGTCAGCTGGTCGGTTGTCTATAAACATTGTTCTCTCACACTCAATGCGGCAGCAACATAATAAGAGCTCATTGGTGCGTTTTATTTTGATTTGCAATAATATCACTAAACACCAGCATGACGTTGGTCACATCTCCCACCGACTGCTGATTGGTCAATAAAATATATTTCTAACCCTATATGCCCAATACATCTGAATGTGTGGAAAGGGTTCCTTACTTTCACTAAACAACTGTAAATTACAGCGGTACCGTATGAGTAGTAGTATTTGTAGTAGTTGTATTAGTAGTAGTAGTAGTAGTAGTAGTAGTAGTAGTAGTAGTAGTAGTAGTAGTAGTAGTAGTAGTAGTAGTAGTAGTAGTAGTAGTAGTAGTTGTTGTTGTT